AAAAATTAATCTGATGCACCAGCTCCAAATAAATTTACTCACGTAATAAGTACCAAATATATTTAATAAAATACAATCACATATATTGGCAAACACATATAAGTCACACTGTACATCTATTGTTAGAATTTCTTAAGAGGTGTATTCGTTGCACAACTATTTTGCTTAAAGGGTTAGAACAAGTTTTGCGTGTATCTTGCACGACGGTCAGATCGAATCTCTCGTCAAAATTCATTTTCCTTCCTCGTGGTGGATCTTTTAGAAGAGGGGTTGCGTAAAGGGAGTGGGAAGAAATTGTAGTAGTTACCCCAACGGTTCGTAAGAAATTTTTCTATTGGCTGATTAGCACGTAACGATGACCTGAAGGATGCGAAAACTGCAAGGGGTGGGAGCAGGATTTGCGACTAGAAGGATAGGCCGCACTAAGCCCATGGAACGGGTCAACGCAGGCTTAAAACATCTGTAAATGCCGAAGGCTTTTTTCTGATTTATGGTTGGGGAGATAGATGCGACAAACTGCATTTTTTAATGACCCCATAACCATTACGCCAACATTTTCGGCAGCTTTGTGCCTCTCTGAGGGTTTCTTGTCATCGCATGTGGCTATGCTTGCAAAAGGCACGTACCAGCAATAACCATTAACAAGGGGAATGGCGATGTAGGAAGTACGATGCGCACATTTTGTTTTTCTAACGGAAAATCTTAAAGCTAAAATCTTAAACACACACGGATTACACAAATAAACATATTGCAATAGAAATACACACAGTCTATGAAGATACTTAACATCGGTATTTTAGGTGTTTGTTTGTTATCCTTAATTTATTAGTTCGGGGTGTGAGATAATTGGACAGCGCTGGTTGTGTTTGACGTGATTACACTTTTTCTTTATTGTTGTCGACAAGTATTACAATTTAAGTTGTTTACATTGCAATTCTTATAATATTATATGAGTTTTCCTTTGTTTGGCCACCCATTTTGTCCGCTTCTTAAAGACTACCATCAGACTCACTTTTTTCCGTCTCAAGCGCTCCATTTCTCCATGCTTCGATCCTCTCGTCAAGGTCCTGTTTCCTGCTTCCGCTTACGTGTGTTTTGGTAACCTTTTCTTTGTGTTTATCATCCTTCTCTCCTGTTTCGAGCTCCTCCTCAGTTTGTGAAATTACTGTTCCATAGATGGCCCCCAGCCCATCGAGCGGAGGCGCACTCATGTGAGATACCGGCTCCAGGTTGGGATCCACCGAGTTTCCTGTTCCCATCAGTTGGTCATCCTTCCTGTGTTGATGCATTTTCCAGTTTCTCATATCTTCAATTTTGTGTCCCTCCTCCAGCACGCAGCTTTCGATCTTAACCACTTCCATTCCGTCCATCCCAATTAGGTCTAGCGATATTCTTCTATTTGGAAGTCTTTTGATGATACCGACCGTTTTAGCTTCCACTTCGATTTTCATCAGCCTCTTCTTTTGATTAGCCGTGATTCTGTCCTCGATGATGTTCTATTTTAGAGAGTCCAGTTTTGGATGGAGCTCGTTGATTATAGTCAGTATTTCCTTATTGTCGTACGATACGTCGGAGACAACTCCTGTTATCAGCAGTCTGATATTCGTTCTTCCTTGTTGGTCGATGACTAATTCTTTGTCGTCTTTACCCACTTTGATGATTTCAGTGCAGGTCTTGACCCATCTTTCGTCAAATTCAGTGTCTACTGTGACCATTAGGCCTCCCCTGTGTTCTACTGCGTTGAGGATTTTAGGGAGAGTGATACCTGATCCCTTACTTCTTGCGTCGTTGGCAAATCCTTTGATATTTTCTATGATCTTCTTCTTAAGTTCCCTTATGTCCTCTGCATTGAGTTTTACTGACGGGTATCCCCTCGGAATGATGATTACTCTCCTCTCTGCTCTGTTGTATGGGTTGAATCTTCCCGACATTTTGTTGCTGTAGATTGCTTTCGGTCCGCTCTGTTCGCTGTCTCACTGGTTTGTGAGTGCCGGTTCTCGCTTGGGCTTACTTATAGCCATCATCGCTGCCAGAGCCCACCAATCACCGGCCTATTCCTGTTTTTTACCACTATTCAGCATTTCCTAACCAGTTCCTAGAATCGTTGCCCGTCTCGGGTTACTCTTTCTCGCAATTGTTTTCTTTTTGTTTGTTGCTTCTTTTCCTTGGTCCTTTCCTGTCTGAATGTGGCTGACCTTCCAATGACCTCTACACTTGTTGATCGCGTTCTTTTCATCCTTTTAGAGTATCTCCTCACTTTTGTTCTTATCTGCTGTCGGTAACGTGGTTCATGTTGGGGCACTGATTTTACCCATCTTATCCACCGTCATTATATAGGATTTCTCTTGCCTCTGTTCTGAAGGGTGACTTTCTATTTTCAATGTTTTATCCTTGATCCTTATTCAGGATCCTGGTTTAAATTGTGCACCTACTGCTTTGCTAACCTTTGATACCTTTTGGAGATTCAGTTCTCCATTTTACATCAGCATTGTGCGCTAATGAATCATACTTACCTACTTTTGATTATTTTTCCCCAGAGCCAATTTATCGTCATACTTTTGATTATTTTTCCGGGTGTCTATTGCGTTTGTACCATCCAGTTAAGTCCTCTTTGGCTGTAGGAGGATATAATGAATGTTAGTGTTTGCTAATAGTATATTTGCTCACCTGTATTGCCACGGAGAGATTAACGTCCATCCTAGCTGGGAAGTTTGTCTTTGCAGCTACGTATGTCCCAGTCTCCGTTAATGTCCTATAAATTGAATTACTTTGAGGAGATTGACAGCCAGTCTGGATGGGAAGTTCTATCCCTTAATTCCTACCTGCTGTCGGTAACTTGTCTGTTTGATGAGGTTGGTAATGGATTTTTGATCCTGTCCTCATATTCACAGTCGGTATCCACGATCTGCTTGACATCTATCTTGATTGTAGGTTGCCTTTTTGGCCGTCAGGGGTTTACCCTAGTGCTATGTTCGAGTTCCTTCTTTTCGATGGTGCGCCTACTTCATCACTTACTCTTGTTAGCTTTCGGAGGTTATGTTATTCGATTAACTTGAGCGATGTGTTTTATTAAGACGTGCTTACCTGTTACTGATCATCCTTACCTAAGTATTTTGTTACCATGTTGCCAGTTATGAGTGGTTTGTGTGTGACTAACTTTTTATAATTCAGGTAGGTCAACTGTTTTATTACTGTATATGTTTAAACATGCTTATTGTACAAAACAAAATAAATAAGTATGTATGTATATATATATATAATTTTTACATAACCCTTCTCAGCCTGCTTCTTCAATTGTCCCTCCTCAAGTTTCTTTGGATCTTCTGCATTGTATGCTTGCTTATTTTTGCCTCCTCCCTCGTATCTTCCGTCCATGGTTTGGTGTCTTCATCCTTCTCAATTAACACCGTAGTGAGATTCCACTGTTCGTATTCATCTGTTTTGAAACTATATGTTCCTGCTTGCATTATTCTGTTCACAGAACCTTTATCAATATTTATAATAACGTGCCAGCCGCCGTCTTCTCTTGTCTGAATTTCTTTTATCCACCACAGGCTGGTATTCAGATAAGGTTGATAGATTCCTATATCCAAGATGATCCTATCCACGTCGTAGTGCACGTTGCCCGTCCACGCCACTAACAACCATCTTTCGCTCAGTAGGTCTTTTTGATGTGTGGCCATGCCGGTTAGATCCATGATTCTCAGTGTTTTTGTTGCCGCCTTCAGCCATACAAGATCTTCATCTTTGTTTATTATCGCCAGGGCTCCGCCTTCTTTTCCTATGATAGTAATTACACTTGGTGTGTACACCTCCGGTCCCTCTGAAGTCATCCTAATAACAAGTTCTGCCTTCTTGTCAATGAGGCATTGGAGGCTCCAGCATAGCTGTTGGACGTCTTTTTCCCCCAGGTATTCTATCGGGTATCCAAACGGAGCTATAGCATATATTTTGTTCCCTTCGATCTCCCTCAGTTCATCAATCTCTTCGTTCGTGGCGAGGCCCAGAACTTCCATGTCTTTACCTGTAATTGATACCGAAGATTCCTATCTTTCCTCATTTGCCTTGTTCATCCTACTTTCTTAAGTACCCTCATATTCCTTGAGACATTCTTCCTGCCTTATCGGCAGTGTCGATAATACAGACATCACCTTTCTGTTTTTGTCTGACTAAGTTTTAGCAATTTTTATCTTTTCTATTACCCTGACATTTTTAGATTGGTCTATTTCTCAATTGTTGCGAGCTTTCTGTTTCCCTGTCCCCTTTAACTGATTTTACCCTTGTGCATCCTGTGCCGGTCTAGTCTCGTTTATTACTACTTCCCTGTTCTTAAAAATCCTACCTCTCACCTTTCTCTTTTTATCCTATCTTTATTATTGCAATTTGCTCGATCCTTGCTTGTTTATTGTTATTTGAGATGCCTTAGCTATCCTATCTAATTGCATTCAACTCGGTCCACCTGCTACTTGTCCTCGTCCTTTTGTCCTTAACCTGTACCTTTCCCGCCTAAAATGCGTCCTTTTATATGCGTCGCCCCTCTATGTTTCACATTATCCGTGGTCGCAGCAAGTTTATTACCTAGAGGGTCGTCTCAGTTGTGGATTTCTGCTGATACAGCGACGTGTTCATTTTTGATCCGTGTTGCTTAGTGAAGTCACTAATAGTACTGTGATCTTTCGATGCCCTTTGCGCTTATTTGCTTAGGTCAGTCCCCTTTGGCTGTGGGAGGGAAAAGAATATTAGTGGCTGCTGATGCCAGATTAGCTTACAATTACAATGCAGAGAGTTGCGACCATCCTGGGTAGGAGGTTTATTCCTCTGGCTGCATTTGTCTAGTGTGCCGCTTATGGTTTGAAAACTATACTGCGGAAGGGGGATTATTGTCGGTTCTGAGAAGTTGATCTCTTCAGACTCATTCTCACTCATTTCTCGTTTGAGACCTGCAGATTGTTTTATTCTTAAATTGTGTGCGGAGTGTTAGTTTTTTGGCTAGCCTGAGTCTATAATTGTATGACACCTGCCTCCTTGTTCCATGGTTCCGTTTTTATCATGAAATTGACAATGTCTATGGATCGAAGTGACTTAACCTCATCTATTTCTATTCTGCTACATTTGAAGATCTCCCTCCTGGTTTTGGTGTATCTGACACATTTTGCTAGAATATGGTATGTCGTCTCGTCCTCGTCAGGGCAGACAGTACATTTGCCATTGTCCAAAAGGCCCATTTTGTGAAGATGGTAACCTACCGGTGCATGTCCCGTGTACGTGTATGCTGCTATCCTTGCCTCTTTCTTCGTCATTGTAGTGATGGTCTTGGCCTTTTTTATATTCGGTTCTCCAATCATTATTTTCCCCTGTCTGCACTCAGATGTTTCCTCCCATCTTCTTTTTAACTTTTCAGACGAGTATCTTCTCAATTCTTGCTTGTTCACTGCATAGGGTATTGGGATCCAAGGTTCAGGTCCTATTGCTATTTTCTTAGTCTGACCTCCTACCCTTGCCAACCTGTCGGCTTTTTCATTGCCCTTAATGCCTTTGTGACCTGGACACCATCCTACCACGGTTTCTATGTTCGCGACAGCTAGCAGGTTTAGTTTATCTCTACACTCGAGGACCAGTCTAGACATAAAGACGTTACTCGATAAGGCTTTTATCGTAGCTTGACTGTCAGTGAAAATCGCTATTCTTTTCTTTCGAGTTTTGTTCTCTAACATTTCAGTGCATCTCGTTATGCCTAACACCTCTGCTTGAAATACCGTGTTGTCTTTGCTCATGTGCTCGTAGAATCCTGTATTTGGTTTGTTGGCTGTCCATGCACATCCGGTGTACCCCTCTTCATCTTTGCTACCATCCGTGTACCATGTTTCACAGCCCTCCAATTTGTTAGTGCCTTCCCTAGTCCAGTCTGTTCTTTTCATGATGATCGTCTTGAATTTCCTGCCAAATCTGTAGATCGGAGTGATTCTATCTGATGGAGCATTTAGGATGTACGTTAGTCTACTACCTGTTTCCATTTCCGCTGTTTTTTCGATACTTGCGTGTTCTTTGTCATTACCAATCCATGTTCCCCAGTTGTTTAACAAACTGATGGTTCGGAGGGCAGTTTCCTCTACCTTTACCTTCAGCGGTGCAACGCATAGCAGTGCCTCCATGGCCTTAGTAGGTGAGTATCTGAATGGTCCCAGGACACTTTTTAGCGCATTATGTTGTAGGCTTTCGAGTTTTCTCCTGATTATATCGTTGTCTATTCCTTTCCACCAGATGATCGCTCCGAAGGTGAGTCTCGGGATGATTATTGCTTGATACACTCATAGGCAAGCTACCGGCGTTAACCCCCATGTTGCTCCAATCATTCTGTTAAGCAGTGCAAGGTTGTTCTTCGCCCTTCTGATTACTCTGTCTGCATGATTCCTCCAGGAGAGGTCTGGTGTGAAAGTGATCCCCAGGTATCATACCTCCTTCTTTAAAGTTAGTTGGGTGCCGTTCAGTTTTACTCCCTGAATGTTTAGCTTCTTCTTTTTTCTTGTAACTACCATGTGTTCGAAGCAGTAGTTCCAACGTTTCTTTGGTGCTCTTGGTGAAAGTATCGTCGTTCTTTTTTAGCAATCCTAGGTTACTGCTGTCGGTTCTCTCCATAATCTTAGTTAGTTTTGCAATATTCTTTGTTGTTTTTAGACTTCCGCAAAATTTCCTCCATGATTCTTTTTTGTTTCTTTTGATCTTATCTTTTAGCTGTCGTTCAGCCCTCTGTGCTCTGATTTTGTCACAGTTCTTCGTTGTTCTTCTGGCTCTGCTCTTGAGTTTGCGACAATTATCCCTTAGTCTGGTTAGATCCGAGTTCCACCAAGGGACCTTGATTTTTTCAACACCCTTTATCACCTTGGAGGCAGTC